CCCAGTCACTGCTCCGCTAGATGTTATAACACGTGTGATGTTAAACAATTGATGCTATGTAATGTGTGTTCTTATATTGTTAACAGGATAGTTATGTGATAAATGATTACAGAAGTATATACTTTGTTTCTACATGAAAGAATGCCTTAATAACATTGATCATGAATCAAATCTATTTTTACAAGGTTGAGGAATATCTCATTTCAAAAATTTAATTCATTTTACTTTGAACATCAGCGAAGTACGCATGCGCAGAGTCATGGTGAGTGTTTACGTCTGTACAAACCAGACATGGCTTTCCTACTGATGTTTAAATCATTCCTTATTGTAACGATTCTATTTCAGTGATAGCACTGTCGTCTGACAGTCGGTTTGTCAGTACATGTCCTAGCGAGTTTGAGAAATTTGAATTTAGTTCACAAATAATGTAGATTTTGATTTTACGGTCTTAAATGTGTTTGCACATGATTTTTTATGATGATGATGATGATTGAATTTATACGTATAGAACATTGTGAAAACGATGTTTAATGTACTTACTAGTTTTATTTTTATTATTTATTTTTTTTTGTATCGGCCTCCGCGGTTTTTTTTTTCATGTGCCTCTTGAAATCGCCATTTTGTAAGTTGACACCGCGGGAGACTTGAACTGTGTACATGGAAGTTAAGACACTCTGTTTGTGAGAACTGTTAGAATGATAGACACGAAAACAACCATGTCGCTTGTAGAATTTAATGTTGACCTTTTTGTCAACAATTTATGTCTTTTTATGATCTAGACATCTAGACGGTTGACGAGGCATCTCTGATATCTCATTGAGATCTCGCAGGGCTTCCGCATTGAACGCCATTAATTTGAACTTATTATCGACAGATAATTTTAACAAGATTATAAGTGTGTTGATTTCACTTTCTCTGTGGCTGTCCATCGATCTTTAAGTTGCTAATAGAATGAAGATGGATGTACATTAGATAGTTCTCAACAAGTGATCTGAAGGAAAAACTAGATAGTTATCCATAATAATGAAAAAATCAAAATGTATACTATATCGGTGAAACAAGAATCCTAATATTTTTACGGCGTCGGCCTGAGAGACATGAGTGGTGCCGAACTGCCATTACTGAGTCATCTATATATGTTTGGAGACTGATGAAGAAACCATCATTAAATTCTCAAGGACCAGCTAAGCAATGTATTTGATTTACAGGAAATTCTATGATTCAATCAATCTTACGGTAAACTTTATTCGTATCCATGAAGTCGCACGATAAAATTCTCAATCGATGTTTTCTCCGCTTCTTGTACAATATGGCTGTTAATGAATTGAAGATGCACACGTGTATCAATGATTATCAGAGGCGTCAGGGGCGGAGGTAGATATTTACAAAGGCACGTCTAAATAATTGAAAACAGTGAAATTTACATGTTTTCCTGTACGAGATCTCTTCACGAGTTACTCTAAAGCAGTGTTCATATCTCAACTTGAAAGTATGCATTTTCTTCGGGCGTGTTTTCACATCATGATTCATGGCAAGAGAAGGGATAGGAACCAATCATTCATTATACCACACTGCAGCATTGTTCTCTCTTGTCGTTCCTCTTTTTTCCATATACCTCTACATTTATTGTCTCTGTATCATCTTCCTGAATATCATACATTTATTATTCTACCACAATAGATGGATGTTATTTAGCTTCTAAAGTATCAACAAATCTTTTCAACTATTATATCAACAGAGTTTAGCATGTGATGGTTGGCTTACAGGATGAAAGTTGACCGGAAGGGCGCTTCACGCACTCACGGAAATTAGAACGCACAAAAAGTAGTTCACGATTATTTTTGTAACAATCTGATTTTTGTTTCATACTTTTCTGCTTTGAAGACAATTTATTTCTAGTTATAATTTCTATGAGTTACAATACCTCCATGTATTTCTGAAATTGTCTCTTTTGTATATATGTATCAACAAGCGACATTTCAGTAAAGGTCACATCATAAGCCTCAACTGATGACGTAAATAAAACACACCTGTACAGAACAAGTCACTTCGACTTTGGAATAGCTTTCTTATTGTGGTAGACACAGGTCACATAAACTTGTGGCTGTTATAGATAGCAATTCTTTCACTCTTGCTAAAGCTCATGTTTTTTGTTTGTTTGTTTGTTTGTTTGTTGTTGTTGGTTTTTTTTTTTTTGGGGGGGGGGGGGGGGCCCGGGGGGGGGGGGGGGGGGGGGGGTGGGGGGGGGGGGGTTATTTGTTGCAATTATTGAAAAATAACACACTTGAGTAAAAGAAATATGTACTACAGCCACTTGATTTGTAAATTCTTTATGCCAATTTCCAAATGTTTTAATACATAGTATAATCAGACATTGAACACAATTTCGTCAGCGATGTAGTTATTTGTTTTGGTAGAAAGAATGCACAAAAAATGGTACTTTTTTATACAAGTTAAGAACTCCGATGTATGAAATGATGAAGAATCAAGTGACTACATCCTACAGCTGTTATGTCCTCCTAGGAATTGTCAGTGATGCTACATCATACAGCTGTTTCGTCTTTCTAGAACTCGTCTGTAATGCTACGATGTTGAAACCATGGAAGAGGAGACCAATGTGAAAAATCAGAATTGGTAGATTTGAATGTCAAAATCTAGATGGTCGGGGGGAAGTCGTATCTGTAATATTCCTGAATTTTCCCCTGATGGTTCAAATTCCCCCCATTATGATACGGTAGATGAAAAATGTATTTCACTGAAATCATTAACTGGATTTACTAACTTTTTTAGAGGCACATAATATGATATTGTTTGTCACTAGGAATGTGTTACCCTTGTCATAGGTATATAATTTCTTTTTTTTTATATACCATTTCTTCAGTATTACTCAATCGGTATGGTCACAAATAGGTACAGTTTCCATTCTTTAACTGGTACCTAAGTAATATTTAACTTATAGTGTATGAAAAGTTATTTTTATTCTTTGAAAGATCACGCAATTTTTGTTTTAGCATTGGAAGAAATGTTATTAGTATAGTGGCGTTCATTTTGTTTCTTTATAAAAGATTTATCAACATTTACAACTTTAGATTACACAATGCTAACACCCCGTACATTTGTGTATCTAAAACAATGGAAGTAGCTTCCAAATGACACATTTCCTTATTGCTAATCAAATATTTCTTAAAGTATGGAACTGTTGGGAGAAATAAATGCAGTAACCGTATAATAAATTAATTTACTTTAATCCATGAATCCTCTTATCATGTGGGACTATTTGCCCCAGGAGTACGAATTAAGTTATGTTTAAATGACAATAGTTTAGCTATCAATGTATTCAGGTTTTATCAACAAAGTAACGTTATATTCCGGATCGAACACTGGCTGCTATTTAACGTTAAAATGAATTCTTGAAACAGGATACTAGGAATGTTTATACATGAAAAAAAAATTGACAAAATTGATAAGTGGTGCATACAACGTTTCTCGAAATTTTAATTAAGCAAATTCGCCCAATGCAGCGTTCATGAATCAAATAATGATAAATATTGGAATATCGTTGGTATACTACTTTTTTTATTCAATCGATTTTACCATCGATATCTACATGTTATCATCACCATCATCCATTTCTCGTCATCTCTTGTTTGTCGGGTTGTATTTATACGCAAGGTGGGGCGAAATTCGTTGTATGACAATAACAGTTATGTCCCTTTATCAAGAGCATAACCGTCACTGTGATATCTTCGGAATAGTTTTAAAATTAGTACGTACAATAAACGTATTTTTGGAATGATAATCAAAATGTCAAACTGTTAATCAAAATGTAAAACTGTTAATTAAAAAGTCAAACTGCTTATTAAAAAGGATGTTTAATTTCCGTGCCTTGTCAATTTTATTTCATAGCGTACCATTAATGTTAATAGTTCGGTCACGATCCATTACAAATAAAGAAAGAAAACAACGCAAGTAAATTAAAAAAATTTCTTTAATATCAGTCTGATAAATCAAAATATGATGAAACAAAGGATTGTACGATCGTTGGCAAGCAGTGTGGAATACAGAAGACGAAGCATTGTGAACTCAAACATAGGTTTTTATACCTCGCAATAACATGACCAATCACTAAGTTTAATTCCCCATTTTAAAATAACTTAAGAATTTCAAATAAAATTTTGGATTTATGTAACGTCCTGTATATGATTAAAGAAAAGACACAATGCTTTACGACCACGTGGTTTTATTTAGCTGTAACATTACACTTTACGTTGATCCGGAATTGAGAATGTAACCTACTCTATCTGTTATCGTATTTATCGACATACTGACATTACTGACAAACTCATATGGAGCGGAAAAAAACGTGAAACGGAATATGTCAAAAAGATTATCTTAGTCATCCTCACCATTTTACATGTTGGTGACACATTTTGTAGGGTAAGTCAGATAGATAAAGAAATGATGTAAAGTAAGTTAGCACACAACTCTACAAACAAGGCAATTGTCCTCCATAAACTTATAGTGAAATTTCTTTATTTTGCATTACAAGTGTACCCCACTGGGGCCAACGATTAATGAATAAAAAGGCAACCGAAGGCAAACCAATATACAATCAATTTAAAGTGGTATTTGTACAACAGAACAGATGAAGATAAAACATGTAAGGTTGACCAATATCATTCACTCACTTTTAAAATTACTTGGAAATTTCGAACAAGGCACGGCAAATATGAATTGATGATGCTATTTGCTGTCAATGTTGATCAAATCTACTACCATATAAAACATGTAAAAACCTGTAAAACACTATTAACCTATCAATATAACATATTTCTTGTGACACATTCAAAGTTCAAAGGTCATAGACGTACAAGATGTATTTAATAAAGAGGCACTTGAGGAATGCTACATGATTGAATTAATTCTGCAATATTGATGCAGGTTTGACAATAGAATCCAACACATAAAACTCTTGATTATATTAATTACTTGATGCATAATATTATTTCATATAATGTATTTTGTACAATCCATGCAAAATAAAGTGATAGATATCAGTTGGACAATACCTAATATTTTGAAAGTACTATGTAACGATACAATGCCAAAATATTTAGTTCGACGTGAAAACAGCGTAATAGAGCCAAAATCCAAGATTGAAAACACCAAATGAAATAGGAAAGACAACTCTAGATAGTTTATCTACCTTCTTGCCTTTGTCAGAGAGGTCATGTAGCACAAAAGTATTCAGTTTCTCATTTTTCTCTCCGGGCAGACCCTGAAATGATAATCAAATGAAGACGAAATGGTTTTAACGTACAAGTTATTCAATAGGTCAGATACAATGGTCATTATTAAGTGATTGAGCCTATACAAGTATAAAGTAGTAATAAATCGATGGTGAAATAGGTATAAGCTATCGTGTTGAAGTTTACCTGGAATTTTAAAACTATATTTATTCCTTAGCGAGTTCGTTTGTTATTTTATATTTACAAAGTACAATGCACACACACACACAGATACCTGTTTTATTAGTTCATCTAATCACTATGGTAATGACAGGTGAACGCGATGTGTCGTTCTTGATCGATCATTTCATTTGAAAGCTCTCTTTTACAATGAAATTAATCTATAGTGTCGTTATTGTCAATACCTTAGATGGTGGCATCCTACAACAATTTATGATTTCGTTTCAACTTCATTTACTTACCGATGCCACCAAAATGCCACTCGTATCCAACTTGAGAGCAGTCACCAATTTGGAACGTCGTTTACGTGACAGAACATTTACGTATGCATATTCAAGGAGAGAGGCGAAAACAAAAACGAGACATATAGACATCCAAACGTCTATTGCTTTCACATAGGAAACATGTGGAAGGGCGGAACGTGCACCGGAACTTTGCGTTGTTATGGTGAGAACTGTGAGAACACCCAATGAAACCCGAGCAGGCGTTGCTTCAGCGTCCACCCAGAATGAAACCCAAGACAATATGACAATCAAGATACTTGGGATGAAGATCTGAGCGATGTAATAACCATTGTTCCTTTCGAGGTAAAGATAGGCCTCAAGACAAGCAAATTTGCCGCCTGTTTAGAGAGAAAACATGCTGAGCTGTAAAATCGGAAACTGTATCCACAAGTAAGGGAAAATTGTCTAGTCTCTGCAATATATATCGTGCAACTTACATGTTTCGTTTGGGATCCAGCAATGGATGTATAACACACGAAATATGTGGACCAATTAAATTTAGAAACCAAATAAACGGTTACTCACTTTCGCCGTAATCTCTAGTACAGGTACTTAACGATATATCATTCTTGAAAAAGAACTGCGGTAGTAGTCGATCGGACATTATCTTGACAGCTTCGGAGGGACGCCACAGAAACACTACATTCTCTGTAGTATAACTGTCTGTAAACAAGATTTCATATTTCGTTTGTTTAGACAAGAATATTTCAGGCTTGACTCATTCACACTAAAGTACAAGTTGTAGAGATTTCAGCCTTGACTCATTCACACTAAAGTACAAGTTGTAGAGATTTCAGCCTTGACTCATTCACACTAAAGTACAAGTTGTAGAGATTTCAGCCTTGACTCATTCACACTAAAGTACAAGTTGTAGAGATTTCAACCTTGACTCATTCACACTAAAGTACAAGTTGTAGAAATTTCAGCCTTGATAAATTCACACTAAAGTACAAGTTGTAGAGATTTCAGCCTTGACCCATTCACACTAAAGTACAAGTTGTAGTGATTTCAGTCTTGACTCATTCACACTTAAGTACAAGTTGTAGAGATTTCTGTCTTGACCCTTCCACTCTAAGGTACAAGTTGTAGAGATTTCAGTCTTGACTCATTCATACTAAAGTACAAGTTGTAGAGATTTCAGCCTTGACTCATTCACACTAAAGTACAAGTTGTAGAGATTTCTGTCTTGACCCTTCCACACTAAAGTACAAGTTGTAGAAATTTCAGCCTTGATTAATTCACACTAAAGATTTCAGCCTTGACTCATTCACACTAAAGTACAAGTTGTAGAGACTTGACTTAAAGTACAAGTTGTAGTGATTTCAGTCTTAAAGTACAAGTTGTAGAGATTTCAGCCTTGACTCATTCACACTAAAGTACAAGTTGTAGAGATTTCAGCCTTGACTCATTCACACTAAAGTACAAGTTGTAGAGATTTCAACCTTGACTCTTCCACACTAAAGTACAAGTTGTAGAAATTTCAGCCTTGATTAATTCACACTAAAGTACAAGTTGTAGAGATTTCAGCCTTGACCCATTCACACTAAAGTACAAGTTGTAGTGATTTCAGTCTTGACTCATTCACACTAAAGTACAAGTTGTAGTGATTTCAGTCTTGACTCATTCACACTTAAGTACAAGTTGTAGAGATTTCAGTCACTCTAAGGTACAAGTTGTAGAGATTTCAGCCTTGACTCATTCACACTAAAGTACAAGTTGTAGAGATTTCAGCCTTGACTCATTCACACTAAAGTACAAGTTGTAGAGATTGTTATTGAAGTATAACTTACAACTTTCAATGGCTATAAGACAATGCTGAGAATCCAACGGGTAGGCCGAGAGCTTCATATCACAGGACAATGTCATTGATACCCTGAATGATCAAAAGAATGATGACACAGATTGAATTATATTTCAATTTTTATAAATGAAACAACCAAATTTAGTCTTTTTCATTTTACTCATGACTTTGACCAGATTAACATCGATCTGTGGGCATGAATGTTTACTGATTATATAAGGGGAGCGAAGCCGTACACACTTGATGTAAATTGTTGAAAACAATTAATCCTATTTGTTCGAGATTTAAAGGAAATAACACAAAAAGAGAAATTATATACAAATTATATACAACTTATAGATGGTTGCCGTCAAATTTGAAGCGAATCGCGATAGAGAACCGTAAAACTCAGAGGATCCGTTAATACTCCACGCTACTCTCTGAGCATGGTCGACAAAATTTAATATTACAGCTGTTAAACAGAAAATGTGTTACAAAATCGTTTTTCGCCTGAATAATACTATTTGATCAGTCTTTAATGACGGACTTTCTTAACCCAAGCCATTGCACTTGAAACAATTCTATTAACTGTAGACTTCCACATATTCAAATGGAGGAAAAAGCTATATTCATCTGATATCTGATAATTGATTAGTCCATTTCTTCTCTTTCGGAGATGGACGCAGATTCTTTTGAGATGAACTAAGCAGTTCAATAGATTTGTCTCAAAAGTAACTTAAATCATCATCCGATGAAATCGACCAAAGCAAAAATCAATGATAGAATTAAGTCCTCATTCACTTTGGGGTTTGGCCGGGGAAAGGGAGGGGGATAACTGGCATAATGTTATATTCGCAATTTGCACGAAAAAAATTTACCTGACGTTGTCGAAGACAGTTCTGTTAGAATAAAGATTTATGATTCTGTAAGGTACTGTTACGTCATGAAATATTGCTATGTTTCACCTTCGGTTTCAAATTTTTGTTCCTATTCCTAATAAGAGGAACATTTCCCGGGTACAGTATCCCTTAAATAGTTATGCTTTTGGATGGTATAGTACTGATGACATTGGTGCCCGTTAAAACATGTCAGTATCTCCTTTATCAACACTTTTAATTTGTCATTGTGTTGGCTATACGATACCATTGATAGACATATGTCCTCCAACGGTTCTAATAAATTACTCATCATAAATTTTACGTGTGGCATGACTGCCGCTCCTTCTTGAGTTCTGTTATTTTTCCCCAACATGTTTGTTTTTGCTGTGTTTATGTTCATTGTTGTTGTAAATCACCTTACCTCACTGACAAACATTTACCTGACGCTGTAGAAGACGGTGCCGTTAGGATAAAGTTGCATGAGTCTGTTAGGTACTGTCACGTCGTGAAAGTCAGCTTTCTTCTCGTTAGAAAAAATGGTGTCTGGAACCCAAACCTTGTCAATCATACGACTGTCCAGTTCCAACATGTTCATCCCGGGTACTTTGGGGTACGTCAGGCGCTTGTCAACCCATTTTTGACGAAGGAATATTGTTATCGTATAGTCCTGAAAAATTTCAATATTGTTACATTCAGTTTATAAACGTTCACTAAATATTGTGTTCATCTACTGTTTCCGACATCAAACAAACACGTTTACGTAGAATATCGCTCTAATAATGTATTAAAATCACCCTCCTTATCTATCGACTTACCATTGAAACCTCTTTCACGGAGTCCATACTCATTATGTAAATCTGAATAGTCACTCTTGTGGCGATATCTGTTGAAAACAAACGTATATTACTGGCATGCATATAAACACTTAATTCAAATTCCATTGCGATCAAGCGAGGGCAAAATGTAAACAAAAGAAGGACTTTCACCCATAAACTTTGCAAACTTTGTCATGTTTGGAATATTATTGGATCAATGCTCGTTTTAAGATCGAGACTGAGAGTTTGGAATCTTTGAGATGTATATATTGTTAGAATATGCTTAAATTTAAGCATGTTCTAAAAGTTGTTAATAGTTCAGGAATCTTCAACATGCACTTATTAACATTAAATCATTATTATCAGATTACTATCAAAATTAAACACTGAGACTGGTCTTAAGAAAATTTGAGATCCCAGGTCAAGGTGTTTCGGAACGTATACATCTTCGACAAAATATCTCTTGTTGGTGAAAACTGTTAACTAGACTGATAAACATGAAAGTAGAAGGCGTAATTACGACGTAATCATTCATTTATATATAAGTTCTGGCTCAAACAGCTGTCAATAGTATTCATTGTTACTAATGCTGACGTAAATATCACAGAAGAAGAAGAAGAAGAAGAAGAAGAAGGAGGAGGAGGAGGAGGAGGAGGAGGAGGAGGAGGATAATGCAATATATATTACTTTTGTTATTCATTTTAAATCAAAAGGAAATATTTCCGTAATTTTTTTTTAAATAAAAGATACATAGGAATGAGTTAAAGTCTATGATTCCATTACTTATATATAAAATGTACAACCTGGTATTACACCCAGGAATAATTAATCATTGTTCACATGCATAACGATCGAGTGTTTATACAAAGTTTATCTAATAAGTATGTTTAACGAAAGAAGACCTCTTTCCTTTATTGTTTCGTTTTATCACCGCGGCAACATAACTAGTAACAGGTGAATAGTTTAGATGTTTAATGGAAATAAACCTAAGATTAGGACAATAAGAGCCGTATGTTTTACCTTTTCATTGTTTTATCCTATTATTCAATTCTCTTATATATCATCGTGTTATTATAATAAAGGGATGGTAAAATATAACACACATGCATATTACGGATATAAAGTTAACAGAATAAAGTTTTCCTCAATTCTTTGGAATCACGTGTTGTGGGACTATTTTTACTCGACGTTTTATACAGGCAACTTTTAATTAGTATTCTTCTATAATTCCGACATGTTTTTAGATATGACATTTATTATTGATGGAATGATCCAAATCTGACATGAACACAAATTAACCGTAGAATTAGTGGAAAAGGGTTAACAAAAGACATTGACATATTGAGGTATCAAAGAAAGCATTTGGAATTTCGGATGAATTGTCCCTTGATTTAAACCTTCAAACGCTTACAATGTTGTTATAACAGGTGATATAACAGTTTGTAGCAAAGTATCTTTGTCATTTTAATAGTTTCAGTGTGATGGACTAGTAGCCCTACATTCATGAGACAGCATGAATACGTGCTGTTGTTAACCCCAAGCTGTTTCACTTTGGTACAAACGCTACTTACCATCTTCGAACTCTGGTGACAGTCTGGAATCATATCTACTTTCATTCAACAGTTTCTTGATAACAGCCTGTCTGCAAACAAGGCAGTGGTCAACATATACTTGTAAGACACATTTTTTACTGACAACACAATGAATAGTAGGTTGCATAGATAACAGGTCAAGTTAAGTATGGAACAACACTTTAACAATATCAACATAGGCCTAAAAAAATTTTCCACTACGTTTTAGAGTATATATAAAAAAATAAGTATATTGGTTAAAGAAATACTTTCAGATCTTGAGGATAAGCTTTTATTCCTTTTTTCATTGTTGTGTAATATCGATGTTTATTGCTGTTACAAAGCTACACTGATAAAAGTAAATTAAACGATGATTATCTTTCAAGCCAAAATCGTACTATAAGCATTTCTTTGGCCAGGTTAGCCAAGAACCAAGACTAACACGTTGAAATTCTAATTTCTTACAGTGTAGTTGTGACTCTTTTAAGACCGCCTAAGCTTTAATTTACTTTTCCCTGTAATGGATTCTTGGCTTATTCCAAAAAATACAATATGCCAAGTTAACTTGGAAACAGTCACGAAAAAAAGCTGATGTTTTAATTTCATGCGACATAAGCATGTGTAACTTTTAGATAGTTATCGTATCTGCCACAGCCAGCACGATATCCCAGTGAAATTGACGTATGTTTCCCCCAGGTCACCTCTTCCAAACATGCGCACGCATGTCATTTTCCATAAAAGAATAATAATTATAGCATAAGATAGCGAGGGCTTGAAAACTAATTTCTCGACTACTGAGGATGGAAATGAAGTCAAGAAGCTGTTTAAAACATGTACAGCTCTCCCTGTGACAGCGTTAATTCGTTTAGTTGTAGATTTCGGTACACCAGTTGGTTCAGGCAAGCTGTATTGTTATCAAAAAGAACAAAAGAACATGACAAGGTTGAATTGGATTCTGCTTTGTTTTTAGTCTCATGGTGTGTTGGTATCTCGGCGTGAACACTGCCAAAGTAATTCCTCATGTCCTAGCCCCTTCGCTTACGCCTTGTCTACATGACTATCTACCATATGACTACGGGACCTGTGATATCCCGATCTGTAGCAAAATGTAATGTAAATGTTTCGTGATTTGACAACGTTCATTACTTTTGCCAATATATCAGACGAGAGCGTGAAACGTTTATCATATAAGATAATTAATTTTCTTCATAGACCTTTGATTGTTTCAAAGAGGGGATTTTCAACTTCAAATCCTTTGTATTGTACATGACATGAATTACACTATAGATCATAGAGCTAGATATAAACGACACAGAATCTACATACTTCAGTTAACTCTGCAGATGTTGTGAATGAAATACCTTGTTCGGTTGCAGCTATGGAGCTCATCACCTTTCAGAAACTGTACCAACACAGTCACCGCAATGAAAGCGTCCAAAATATTCCTCAACCCGTTCATTTTTTCTTCATTTCGTATCTACCACATTTTGTGTCTATGTTCCCAACTTTCAACGTCCACACTGTTGAATAGCTCTCCCTTCAAATAAATGCTACACAACACGACGCATAGAGCGCTGTACATGTTTGCTAATAAATTTTGCATTGATATTGTATAATGCTGATCAATCATTTAACTGATCAGATCTATGACATCCATCTATTAATGCCTACTACAATGTCAGGACGTGTAGGGGTACAATTGTATTGGCCTCATTTTTCCTGTTAATATCACGTCGATCGTCACTGCATTTTAAAGCAAACATCCCCTAACAATCGCCCTATGTTATTGATCTTAACGTGATATGTTTGTATTTAACCTTTCAATAATTTAGCATCGATATTTCTCGTGTATCCTGTGTTGATGGTTCATATAACTGTATGTACGAAATAGCAGGCAAATACCAAACCGTGCTTTTATTTCAGCGGCTGGAATAGGTTTGTAACCAAGAACAACGGCATTAAAAAAACAAAAACAAACAAAAAAACATTTGAAGACCGATTGGATTCTTTACAAAAACCATTGGGTGTCCATCATGTTCGAACAACATTTTACTCGGTTCTCCTCTCATTATAACGAAGACTACAAGTGGATTCAACTGATATTGCTTCTGACAGCTTGGAGACTTCATATGATTATTATTTCTCTGTGTGGCTATTGGTGATATTTTTGTTCATTAGATTACCCCATTATAACGGTTTTAATTAAAGTCTAAAAAATAAATCCTTACTAAAATTGGTATTTTCATGTTGAAGTGGACAATGTGAGGTTTCATTATTTTCATAATAATATTTTAGCTTTGTGTTGGAGATTACTATTTGGGCAGTCTCGAATCTGTGTCTTCGCACCAAACACTAGCCGAACAGGAAGTGAAACAAAGTTGAAGTGTTAGGTTGGAATTAGCAATATATTTTGCATTTTTAGTATTTTTAAAGTTGGTAAACATGACAATCACATGTCAGAAATAGGAGGAACTTTTTTATTTACACAATCTTTATTCCTCTACTATGACCAATGATTTCAGGAAAAATGCAAATTAACCGTTTCCTGTCACCTTACATACTTCAGTCGATTCGATATACCAGGCCCTGTCCCTAATATTACGAATTTTGAACAAGATGTCATCCATTGAATGACAAACTCGTAACACATGGTTTAAAGAGATGCAGGTTGGTGAAAATTATGGGGAAGTTTAATGGTCGTTACGGTGATCTCATTGAGAAATATTCTATCTTCCATATGAAGCTGGACGTGTGTGATGTCCTTTAGTTTCCTGTTGGTTCCGCTGTTATATATATATATTGTTCTCATTTAAGAACATTTACCTGGCGAGTGTCCTCGATGAAACATAAGACGCTTACACTTCGAGAACACATGGCCTTCTTTTCCGTGTACTTTTTCAGGATTATGCTCACATGTTGGTATTTTATTACTTAAAGCTTAGAACAAAAAATATTTTTTCCCGGACTCAGAAAATTGAATATTGCTTTCACTGTATTTATCTTGTTTTCGCATGTTTTTCTATCCTCGAAAAAAGCATAACAATAGATACTTTTGGAAATCATCATTTTTAGAGTGTTTTCCTTACATATATCCTTTTTGTGTGTCAATGCATACGCGTTGTGACAGAGTGTTAGAACTAACTTCAAGTCCAAAAAGCTGACAGAAAAACTTATCTTTAAAAAAATTACGTGTACTTGAGAAGTAACAATACACATGAAATAATTTTTGACACCAAGCTTAACATCTTTAGTATCTCATATGCAACAGTACATAGCCGCTTATAAGGTTGTTTCTTTTAAAGATTTTTTTTAAATTTAACATTAATAAATAAAATTCTGTAATCATCATACTTAGATTTAAAGCTTGTTCTAGATCTTATTTTCTATGCCTGCATAGACGTGTAATTACGCTGGAATAACTACATATTTTATTTGGTGGGCTCATGTTCATCGGCAAGTCAGTGTAGACTAATGACTTGAGAAACTGCTACTAACCACTGTTTAGTGTTTTAGATGTAATGAAGTCATTCGATGGATATCCAGTAATGCTTTGATAAACACATGTTACAGTAAACTAGAAATTCCTATATGTAATTAAGAATCAAGATATTTTTGTACTTTGGATTTTGAAAGTATTTTCTTGGCTTTCTAACAGATTTTACAAAAGATGCCCTGTGTGGTCATGACATAGAAAGCATCACCGCACTACACCAAGTCGGATGAATCCAATAACATGTGGATTTAAAAAAAATCTGCCTAACAAAGTTTTGGGAACTTTGTTGAACAGAAGTTTTATTTTCATCACAATGATCGCATTGGGAAACATTCTATTTTTGCGCGATATGATGCTGATGCTCGTTAGGATGCCTGGTGATTCAGTTGCTATTTATTTATTTTGTTTTGTTTGTTTTTTACATTAGGGAACGTGACATTGCTTACTTCAGTTAACAGATATTTAAATATGGCGATGTCCTCGTTCAAGATAAGGACGCTTGTCCTTCCTTAACACCATATTTCCCTCCAATATTTTTCACGGGTGACTGGTTAAATCGACCTTACCATCCTATTTTCGTCGAATTTTAGTTTGAATCAATATACGGTTGATATGTCAGTATTTTCTTTTCTTTTTTCGTTTTTAGACAATGATCCATTCTTTTCATTTTAAAAATTCACCGAGACAATTGTCATTCTAAATGTCATGTTAACTTAAACTTTCCTTGCCTATCTAAAACGACAGTTTTGAAAGAAAAAAACCTTTAAGCTCCACAATTGAAAATTCAACGAGAAGGTATTAAGATATCTAACTGCCGTCGATATGCGGTTCTTCTATTTTCATAAAGTCAACATACAGATTTCCCTTTTCTCTTCAAAACCGTATTGCACTGCACAAGGATAGGAGACCGATGAAACTCTATGAATATTTTATTTTGGAACCTATCTTAAATTCTTCAACATAATTATTGAAATAGAGCGGAAGTATTAAGGAGGACCTTAATTGAATTCTGTAATCATTTATTTATATTTAAATTTCATTTTAAAATAATTTTGAAATTTCTTAATCGTTGCATATGACTCTAAATTGTTACAACGTATAGATTTTTCCTGTTGCCCGATAACCGTCACATTGAAATGATAAAATAATTTATCAGAGATGAACATTATTTTAATCGAAGTGCAAAGACGATGGGTAATGTTGTAAAGTAAACAGTATACCTTATTGAGTAAATGGCTTTTTCTTTTGAAACTAGACCGTAACCATTATTCTTTCAAAACATTTGAACAAAATAAACTCCAATCGATTTGACAATGCGGTAAGTCATTATCTGCTAATACTTAATTGTAGATATATCATATGTTCAAAGTGTAAATAATTTTATCATCTCGTGTACACTTTGCATAAACGTTTTGATAAATAAACCTATTTTTGCAAATGAAGGCAGCTTTTCGTAATATTTACCGTAACATCAAATCTTGTCTCGATGGCTTTGATACATGGCCATCTATCTGCGTGTACCAACTATGTATCTTGATAATATATGTTCCTCATCCTGTGAAGTGATTTTTTTTTAAACTTTCCGTCAAACACATCCAATACTTTCTATTTATTCTCGGCCGCCATTGGTTGTCGAGGTTATCACTATACCATTCGACGTAGTGAAAACGAAGGGAAGTAACTCTGGGAGATTAGAATGTTTCAATTAAGAGTGTTTATAATTGAAACGATGCATTTGTTTCTACATATTTTATCAACAAAGAAACGAATATAACATATCTTCTTATAAAAAATAACAACTAAGTGGTTATAGCAAAATACTATAAATGTTTTTATCAAAAATGTAAAACAAACATAGAATAACATATTTCCTTGAAAAATTGAAAGGGTAAACATGTCTTTTTTTCATAATTTTCTGAATATACATACACCAGACCAAGTAACTATTCAATGAAACATGCGTAAAATTTCAAAAACGTCTTTAAAATACCACATGTCAAACAAATGCAAGACAACACATCTATGCGTTCAATTGTAACGAGGTTAAGGAGCGAATCTTACCGGATGTTGGAACTGATATATGTAAAGCTCAAAATTCACAGTTTCGGAAATTCCTATCAGTGTAAATCAATTAACTAAAATCAAGATACCATCCATTTCACTTATGATTTATCGCACAATATTCCCGGAGTGCACCGGCCCAACCTTTTTATGCTGCAATTTAGAAAACTAATGATATTCAACAAGTTAGTTTCCGATAGGTACGGCTGAACCCTTCAAACTTCACGCACCACATATTCCGCAATCCAGCCTCGAACCCGATCTGTATCTTGCGTTTTTCTAGCATGTTTAACCGATCCAAATAAGGTAAAATTAGACGGTAGCAAAGACTGAGTTCTGTAGGAAAGATACGTTAATTGTCTGTCGGAAGTAGAATAAGACGGTAGCAAAGACTTAGTCTATAGGAGAGATACGTTAATTGTCTGTTGGAAGTAGAATTAGACGGTAGCAAAGACTTAGTATATAGGAGAGATACGTTAATTGTCTGTCGGAAGTAGAATTAGACGGCAGCAAAGACTGAGTCTATAGGAAAGATACATTAAGTGTCTCTCGGAAGTAGAATAAGACGGAAGATACTACAGCACTGACCATCACTTGCACATCTACAAGATAAGAAGGATAAACAAGACGGTTATCTTACTGACCAAGTCTTACCATTATTTAAGAACATGATGGTGGCACATTCCCGCCAATAAAACCGTTTGTTTAGAGTTAAGAGATAAGGTAGAATGCATATGAAAATATCGACAAAGCAACGAAAATCTGCACTGTCTATGATGTAAACTATCCCAAAATTTTCTCTCTGAAGGTAAATATTGAAATTTTGAATTAATATGTGAGACCTATCACAATATAAATGTTGTTTTATATATAACTGTCCAGAAAAACACTGCATGACAGACATAAGACATATCTAAGTATGTGTATACCCACGACTGATCAATGTCCAGGTAACTTAAGATATAAATATATATATATAATATGAACTAGAGGATTAAGTAACAAAAGAATATCTACCAGACTTGTGTGATAAAGTGGAGGTCTGTTTGATGTGGTAACTCTAAACAGGTTTACTGTATCTGTTCAATGACGGATTAATAGGTTCAAATTTACCAATACATATGTAGCGAAATCAGAAGAGATGAAAATAAGGGCAGGCTTTAAAGTTAATTATTAAAATGTTTAAAAACATTTCATTTTAATTTGGAATGTCATAAGTACGAATATTGGATCACTTCCTGGTAACATATCAACATACAGGTTATGTCTATATCTTCGTTTCCGTGAATCTTCACGCTGTGATGAGACATTTTAATTAGTTGCTCTACCGGAAGTCATCAAAGATTTAATTACGTAATAAATCAACATGTGATGAATGATCATTAACATCGTTTGTAAACAAAAGTGATAATATATCACAAGCTTACTTACCGCTCTATAATTGATTGTATACCAGAAACTTTAATTAACATTTTTAGTATATACAATAAGGAAAATATAAAATAATTGCTTGGAAAACTTGATTAATTGAAAACAACATGACACAATATATACTATTTGTACCAATTATGTTTCTAACTGTTCGACTGTTTTAAATAGCCATTGTCTGCATACCAAGTAAACCCTTGGAAGAAAAGTAAGTGATTGTTAAAAAATGTTTTTCAAATGAACGATACGTTATTTCAACTCGTGAATCAAATCTTGATCTCAATGAATTTCTCCAACAAAACCTTCTCTTGGCAACATGATCCGACGTCGAGTGACAGCTGGAATCTATCCCGATGACGAAAGGTAGTATGACCAAAATGCAAGGTTGAAGAGTGCAAATGAACAAGGAAAGATAACTCTTGACACTTTATCTACCATTCGGGCTTTATCTGTAAAGGTCACCGGCCCAATACTTGATTTGCGCTTGACACCATTATCGCTGTTGCCGTTCATTTCCTGCCAATACAAAAATAATTTTTTTTTCAAATTTTGTAAATGAGAAAAATGACAGTGCTGTTTTTTCTGTTGCCATAATTGGTTGTTCAGTTCAATAAATGGCCGTATCTCATGTATGCTATAACCGGATGCAGTTCTGTGTTTTTTCATTCAGATTTTTGGTTCCGGTTTTGCGTAAGCAAACACGGATTTCTCGGTCTGTAATGACATATGTCAATATACTGCAAACTCAGTTCCGATAGATATGCTTTTGTTGACCAAGTTTTTTCAGCTTTTCCGATAACTGCGAATTGAACTAGACACAGCTAGTAAATACGGAAAGTCACATTACTGACGATTCAATTAGAAAATATTCAGTTAGAGAATAACTCGAAAGTTATCTATTAAGGTTTTTATCACTTTTCCTTCTTCTGATTTCGTCTTCAAATGGTTAATTAAAAGTTCTTTGGAGGCTTCGTAGACGAAATTATCAATTGTGTAATCATTACAAATTCAGTATTTAATTACAAATAACATATCGCAGGTTTAACAGCTCAGTGGGTGAAATGATTTATTTTTGTGATCATTTTTGTTAGATCTACTCATTTTGGCTGATGTATTGCTGTTTATCCGACTCTTATCCATATTTATATTTAACTGACTTATTACTAAAATACATCCATAGATAACAATCAAGATTTACTATCTCACAAATATTTCAAACTTTTGTGGCGAAGAAAACATTCCATTGTGTTTGGAATTAACATTTTAAATGTGTTTGCAGAATCAAAAGCATTCCCCTATTGACTGACGGCATGGATTCTATTTGAAATGTTCGTGTTTGCTTTAATACTTTTTTTTGTCCAATTGGTAACCTGGCAACACGGCAATATATCTGGAATAGTGGTGGATACCGTAACATATGCGTTAGTGTATAAACACAGTTTTATGTGATTGGCTCCAATACAAGATCTTAAAAGATCTATCATAATTTATTTCCTTTCTTGGTGTCTTTTCTACTTATGATTGTCTTATGTATATTTCACAGTTGTAATATTAAAATATTGTGACATAGAACTTTAATCACTATCAATAATCATTATGAAAGAGCTGGTTTAAGAAACAAAACAAACCAATTGGAAATGATTAAGGAACAAAACAAACCTGAGTGTTTAACATTCCGTCCGGTCCAATAGCTAGTGACGGAAGCAGTTTAGAGCGGCGTTTACGAGACAGAACGTTTATGTAAGCGAATTCGAGAAGTGAGGCGAAAACAAACATGAGACAAGTGGCCATCCATACGTCGATTGCCTTGATGTAGGAGACACGTGGAAGGGTGGAACGTGCACCGGAACCTTGCGTCGTTATGGTGAGAACTGTGAGGACACCCAATGAAATTCGAGCAGGTGTGGCTTCAGCGTCCACCCAGAATGAAACCCACGACAACATAACTATAAGAATACTTGGTATAAAAATTTGAGCGATGTAGTAACCGGTGTTTCTTGTGAGGTGAAGCGTGGTCTCGAGGCAGGAAAAATTTCCACCTACAGTTAAAAACATGACATAATCAAACGAAAAAATATCAAACAAACTAACAAACTTTCTAGACATTGGTGAACAAAGCAGATCGAAGACCGTTCGAATTAAAGATGGCGAAAGAGACATAAGATGGATTTCGTTATCATTATATTACCCTTTGGTACATAAATGTATATGTATAAAGACAAGCACATCACATCCACAATATACAGATATTTTATTCTTAGTTTTGTAAATAAAATTATATATTTATATATATATATATATATATATATATATATATATATATATATAAAATAAAAATAAAAATATGAACTAATGACCCTGTATGTTTGAAAATGAACACGTGTTTGGTTAAAACATTCACCAAATTAAAATTACATATATATACCTATTACATACAGCATTCAATGTATAAACGATATGACCACTTACTTTCTCCATAGTTTTTTTGGCAGTCGTTAGTTATCGATGGTTGATCAGAAAAGAAGAATTGAGGAAGAAGTCGATCTGTTTGCATTTCTACAGCTTGGTAAGGGTGCCATTTAAATATCACATTGTCTGTTGTGTAACTGTCTGGACAGAAAAAAAGAACACCTTCATCAGCTGATTGTTGTCCCGTGCTTACAACAGGTCTATTTTAATCATAACTGGTGCTTTATATCAGAGAAAAGAATCGTGTTTGGTAATATTCAGTTTGGAAGGAACACTATTTAAAGCGATATAACTGTGAAGATTATGCTGTTTACACTCCCAATTGGGTTTCGGTGCTATCTCCTTATTTGCTTGTTAGACAGAACCTTGTGAAATGTAAGTCACCTTCCCGACCTTTGGTGGGGTTTCCCCTGGTACTCAGGATTTCTCCAATAGTAAGGCCCCTCGAGGTATTCAATCCGGACCAACAAAGGTGATTAATATAAATTGGTATAACTAATTTCGCAATTTTTACAAAAAAAGTTGATAAAAATCACAAAGTGCAAATAATAACACATGACAAATTTCAAAATGATGCAGAAATATCTTGCATTGAAAGCAATGATAAAGAATCAGCGCGTGTATTGTGAGAGTCTAAAGAACACACGTTATCAATTAAACTCTTTATTTACATATTTCAGTGAAAACCAGCCAGCATTATTTACAAAGTAAAATATTTCCTGAAGAACTGAAAAGGGCATTGACAAATTCATTTACAGTGCTATAGCACAATTGAACACACTTCAAGTTCAACAAATATTTGGTATGTATAGAAATGAACAAAGCCATTTCTGGTTTTTTACTTACAGCTCTCTAAGGCAATGTGACATTTCTGGGAATCCAAGGGGTAGGCCGATAGTTTCATGTCACATGATAATGTCATCGTCACTCTGTAGATTGTTCAAAAGACGCAAAAATGAACATCACAATTTAATAAAGATTCATAGTTGGAAACTACATGATTCAGTTTTTTCCTCTTTCTAAGGGCTAAGAGGCCTAAATTTTGAGATGTATCAAGTGACGGAGGAAATTCAAAAGTGATCGAAAGAAATGTCTGAATCTAAATGTCTCGAAGGCAAGATAATTCAATAATTTTCATAAGAACGTGTGTATATTCTTCTGAACATTTCTACCTACCTCTGCTTTTATATTGAATGTTCCAGTTGAATGTGATTTTTATAGACGCTTAACGTGTCCATTTTGTTCAAAATTATATCACCGATGGAAGCGTTAGCCATTTATTGACAAGTTATGTTTACAAGTAGCTAACCGTTGACCATTTTTAAATATATATTTTTTTTAATATTGACTATGGCCAATACGCCATAATTATTGTCAATACTACCTCTCGCGTTTTCACTGTAAACAAGTGAAAATTCCGAACCTCCAACAAAGCCAACGACCCATTCTCTAAATTGAACAATCAGGTTCGTTTTTGTCAAACTTTTGACCAAAATGTACTCGAGCAGCTAAAACAATGTGGAAATGCCCTTGTACGATATTAACTTCATTCCCGAAAAATCTTCCCTTGGACATCTCACCTACCTGACACTGTAGAACACTGTTCCATTAGGATATAGATGCATGAGTTTGTTGGGTACCGTGATGTAGTGGAAGCTTGCAGATTTCTCGTTAGCGAAGAATGTATCAGGCACCCAGACTTGGTCTATCATTCGGTTATCAAGTTCTAGCATCTTCATCCCCGATACTGGTGGGTACTTCAGGCGATTATCTATCCACTTCTGACGCAGGAATATCGTCACTGTGTAGTCCTGTTAACGATATCATTGATTGGTCATATCATTTCAGACAGGTGATGGTACATTACAACATCTGACTTTCAAGCCTGATGATGTTTTAATTATAATTTCATAACAAATCAAAAATTGTTGTTGACAATATCATTATCGTGTCTTTCTGATGCTTTAAGATAAATACATATAGTTCATTTGCTTTAGCCCTAGTTCACCAAAAAGTTCATCGTTAACATTTCATTATCATTTAACCACAGCTGTACAGAATATAGCCCTAATTCAACCTAATAATGGTATATCGTTTACAACGTAAGCCAGCCAACTTTTCGTATCTTGTACGTGTTGTATAATCAGATTTAATGTTGACATGGTGTGCGGTAATATAATTAAAAACTGGCAATATCTTCAGAAAATGAAAACATTGAGCACATTGCATAATTCGTGTATAAACTCAATTAAACGAATAAATCATATGTAAATAAATTATATTTACTAGTTGATATTTCATAAATGCTGTTTAGATACGGAAGTACAATCTAATTGCAGAAATCACGAACAATGACAAAACACTATTTAGATATTAGAGAGGTATGAAACATGCCTACTATAGGTGATGTTTGTTTTATCATGGACACAGTTAGGATCAGAACGTCCGTTAGATCATTTGGTTATGTCTTCTATTGTTCTGCTGTTGCCAGCGTGTTTTGATATCCTTTTTGTGGGCAGCTGTAATGTTATATTTTGTACTAAGACCTTACGTACTGATCCTAAGGTTGTTGACAATTAGAATAAGGAATACTTTACCATGGATGCTTCATTCAAGGAGTCGATGCTCATGACATAAATCTGAATAGTGACAGCTGTAGGAACATCTGTAATAAAATAGGCAAGTCTTCAACATTTTAAAAATTCTGACTAGAGCTCAATACATGCTTTGGAAAGTTTGGTATCAATACGTCATACTAACAGCTCATGTATTATATCAATTACATTCGTTTTTCAAATACACGTTTACACGCATATGTACCATCGTCATTTAAATCTCATTCCCAAAGTTTGACGTATTTGATTTTCTTTAGATAGTAGTTCACTTGGGAAAGTGAAGGGAAGTGAAGTAAAGCGATTTGGGAAATTTACATGGCTGGTGTCGTCGATAAAACAGAAGACACCATTCTGGAGTGTCTAAGCAGGTTTTCATGAAAACGTACTCATTCTCAAATGTTCATCTTGTGTTTGGTTAAAATATTTTTGATAAATCCGATATCTAAATTTTTCAGTGATTTGAAGAAATTTCCAATGACTTCGTATGACATACTCTTTGTTAAGTTATTTCAGGATTTAAGCCAGTTTCAATAAAGCTGGGATAAGCACAGATTTCGTGATTTACAGTAGTTTCTTTAAAACCTTCTTTCGTTCATGTTTTGTCCTAATTTGGTCGAATCTTAGTTTGAATTTTGATATTTTTTTCCTTTTTGCATATGATACTAAGCGTCTCTATTCATCTTTAAATGTTAAAACAAACTAATTATTGTACAAAAGATCCCAGATATTGTTATGATCTGTATTTGCTCTATACAAGTTGAATTTTTTCCTCGTATTTGTTCTCAACTGTTGGTTGTATTGTCATTCATTGATAAAACTACCATACGGTCTTTGGTAATTACGTCACAGTTACTTTCTGAGAAACTTTGAAGTAATCTCAATCCATCAAAATGCAAGATGACCACTCGTAAGCCATTTTTCACGCCATAAAGGAAATCTATATTATTTTTAAAGAAACTTGGATATACAAACTAAAACTGTCAAAATGAAAGTAGGTCATATTGTTTTTAAGATCAATTTAATTAAGACGTATGCAAAAGAAAAGACCACGTGCAACTACTATGTAGAATTGGAGAACGATTCATCCATTCCTTTTCAAGCAATTTCAATAACAAACTTCAATTGTCAAAGTTACAGATGATCGTTTGTCAACTATTTTGTTTTGTTACCCGACTCAAAATTAAAAAGGTCACTACTAAGGACAAGGGTAACCCACATTTTAAATTCAAAAAGAAATCTATTAGATTAAAGACCGCCTAAAAGTCATTTTGACTTTCTTATCAGTCCAAAACCTATGAAATAAAAACACTGTTAGGAGTTAAGGGGAACCTTCATTCGAATGGGGGAGGGTAAACTTTGAAAACTGTTGTAAAAGATGATTAGTTAAATAGGCTACAGATCAAACACGACTTATTTACACAAACTGCTTTTCTCTTCAACAAGTTTTGTTTCCCATTCAAAAGTGATTCATATTTGATCCATTATTTAAATGATTTGTATGGAAAACTTTTCATCCTGGCCATGTGCCCAAAGGGAAACAAACCAAATGTCTTGATAATAAAATGGATTACTACAAACAGTTAACAAATTTAATTGTCATACACGTAAAATGCTTTGACGTGATCATGCAGCACTGGAGAAATATGTTCCGTTTATAGCATTATGTATTATTCAGAATCAGTAAAATAAAGATTGCATCAAAATAAAACGCAGCATAATCTGAATCATACCGAGATATATTAGCATACCCTAAACAGAGACTCTGTTTTATAGCTTGTGAGCTTTTATATTATCACTAAAAATAAATCTGCATATGACATTTATCTGTTTTTACCATCATGTTGTGTTGATAAAAGATGTATTCTGGATATAATGAAAGCAGTAATACTGGAGGTAAATAATAATTACGTGAATCGTTTATCATTGTAAGCTGCAAACACAAGGTATCTCACCTTCCTCGTATTCTGGGGATATTTTGGAGTCATATGTACCGTCGTCCAACAGCTGTCGGAGGATATCCTGTCTATCAAACAATGTGAACTATATAATATTAAAAGTGATCATGTATATTAAAACATATTAAAGGTAATATAAAATATATTAAATTAATTTAAAAAAAAACTGAATATATTTCAATAAGTAATATATGATATCTAGAATTAGATATACCTTAAAATGTATAATAAAGTATTGATGGACATTGGAACAAACACTGGAAAATATAGTTAAATATTTCCACCGAATTTTACATGAATCTCCATATGATATGTGATTTATAAAACTTTGAAAATTCTCCGAGACAAATGGAAACTTTTAAGTCCTTAAATACTTTTAGATACTCTTATTATTCAAGCAAATATTGTAGAAAAAGAAAACATTTCTAGGTCAAACCTGAAGTTAACTTTTGCTCTATAAAGCCATTGCTATGTCATAATGCAATCTGTAATTATGTGACTACATTTTCTTTATCTAAACCGGACGTCACAGTTGGTTACATTACACACGTGTAATAGTGAAAAACTCGCACGTACATATTCACCGAATATCAAGGCAACTATGAGATAAAGTGGTATACTACATCTATGTACAAAATAAGCCGATATACCTAAGTGTATACCGAAACAAGTGTTATACAATGTTATACAGTGTTATACAATGTGTTATACTATACCGAACTAGGTATTTTACTGCTACTTTTGGATGCAATTAATGACATACAATGGGCTTGGCAATTGCAACTATTTGCATTAGTCAATATAACAATTTTGTTACTAATTGTTCAAGTAGACACTAAGGAATGATTGGATAAAATTACAATGGATTTGGTTTTTTCAGTAATAACGAATCATAATTCTGTTTTCATGACTAACGAGAATTAAAGTTCTACAAACAAAACTGGATTTATTTTCGTCAAGTCATAAGAAACACTTCGATATTATAGCTAGACTATCGAGACTTTACAAGTACTAGTCATGTAAACAGAAGTAATGGAGAGCTGTTACCTTGTATGATTCTTGTTGTCAAGGAAATGGCTTCCCTCCAGAAGCTGGTACCATGCGGTAAATATGATATAACTCTGCAGAAAGGTCACCAAAACGCTCATCTTTCTAAAACACTATACACAGGTCCCAGGTCGACAATCATCGTTTATTCTATCTCCCCGATCTGTATTCTCCCCGTATCTGTTAATCAATAGCAGATGAAACCAAATAAGGTCAAAACAAGCTTAAATGTACCATGTATAACAGACAAATAGAAAGTTAGATTGTTCCATCAGAAGGTAACATTAACATGATTACAGATACTGTTTTAATATCAAACATACATTATCTCCAATACTTCATAACGCTTGTAAACTCTGTTTTAAAACCAATTTTCCAAACCTTTAATCTAGAAATGACTGTTATAGAATATCTGCATTCATGCGGAAAATATGATAATTAACCACATATAAATGCATCCGTGTTTGACGTTTCATCGCCTTCATTGTAACATGCATGATATATCTCTATAGGATACAGATAACGTGTCATTTGAAATTCAAACTCATGTTTCATAAACAGGATGTCCCTCAAGAAAATCAATTTTGGTTCTAGAATTCTGATCAATTATGAAAAGCATACCATATCATTGAGTTACAAGTAAAAAAAATAGAAATTGGGGTAATTTGTTAATTTGTATAAGGGGACTAGTAATATTATACATTTCCAGGGAACATATGTTGTGTATCGCGACCTTACGTCTGATGGAAACCATGTAAGTAGGACTTGAAATAAAACTCTAATGAATATGATTGTGGACAACACAATATATAGATTCTATGTAGAACTTCCTCGGGTTGACCGCGACTAAATCACACAATGTAGTTTTAAAATAAAGATATTTATCTACGGATTATAGTCTTTAGATATCGTTGATGACCAGAAAACTTGTTCATTTTTTACCAACTTGTATTCCTTCAAACATTTTGCAAAAAACTTAAAAGCAGTTGAGATCTATCTTGGTAATTATCATATCTATAGAAAATTTCAAAACACCAGCTTCAGCACTCAGTTCCTAAAGAATCTATAGCAAGTTTTAAAACCGAGCCGACAAACCAGCTTAAACACTGAGTTCCTAAAGAATCTCTAGAAAATGTTAAAACCGGGCCGACAAACCAGCTTCAACTCTGATTTCCAGTAGGCTTAAATCACCGCCGACAAACCAGCTTCAACTCTGATTTCCAGTAGGCTTAAATCACCGCCGACAAACCAGCTTCAACTCTGATTTCCAGTAGGCTTAAATCACCGCCGACAAACCAGCTTCAACTCTGATTTCCAGTAGGCTTAAATCACCGCCGACAAACCAGCTTCATCACTCAGTTCCTAACGAATCTATAGAAAGTTTTATAACCAATCAAGCAAACCAGCTTCAAAACTCAGCTGCTGAAGGTTTTAATCCACTGCCTACAAACCAGCTTCAAAACTCAGCTGCTGAAGGTTTTAATCCACTGCCTACAAACCAGCTTCAAAACTCAGCTGCTGAATGTTTTAATCCACTGCCTACAAACCAGCTTCAAAACTCAGCTGCTGAATGTTTTAATCCACTGCCTACAAACCAGCTTCAACTCTGATTTCCAGTAGCTTTAAATCATCGCCGACCAAACAGATTCAACACTGATTTCCAGTAGGTTTAAATCACCGCCGACCAAACAGATTCAACACTGATTTCCAGTAGGTTTAAATCACCGCCGACCAAACAGATTCAACACTGATTTCCAGTAGGTTTAAATCACCGCCGACAAACCAGCTTCAGTAGTCTTTTCCTTCAGAACCTATAAGAATGTGTAAAACCATATGTCTCAATTAAGCCTCAGTTCTCAGTTCCATCAGAATTTATATAAAGTTTAAAATCCAAGGCCGACACTCGAATGACATGTGCTATTTCGTAACGATTTACGGATATTAAAGACATATTAATCCGACTTACAAGGATGTCTAGACAAATCCTTCGGTGACTACTAGTACAATCAATACACTTGTACAAATATCAGCATGTGTATTACATATATCCGTAGTGCATAAGTCCTTACAAATCATTACATGACTAACTACGATAATGCAATCAGTGATCACACTAATGAATATGCATTTCCAGGTTGTAATTAGCAATTATTACAGTCATTTTACCTATATACATATATTAAGTTAATTGCACACTCGTGTACAAATAATGTTAAATTGATGGTTTCTTTGTTATAATTTGAAAATACACCCTCTGAATAGACCGAACAATTGCTGATAGTTCAAAACTCTGACGACTTTTTAGAAAACGGCTAACGGATATCCGTTGTGTTTTCTGTCATTCTGAGATTCTAGTATCAACACAACTTATCAATTTATCTACCAAGTTAATTGACACAGAAAATCTTGCATGATTTTACATTCATTTGAGACATTTGAAACGAGTCTATTTTTTTTTTTTTTTTTTCATTTACCGAGTCTCGGGTGAGGTAGAAAAAATGCGACGAGATTTCTTATATCTTATAACAAGGAACGAATGTAATATTCTGTTTATCACTGATACAACATAACTTACATACCTTTGCGATCATTCACAAAAATACTCATTAAGACTAATTTGAAATCTCCATTGTTATTTCGCTCAATGTGTCATTATTTGGTGTCGTCAAAGAACCAATGACGCAAAGAACTTATGACGTCACAATCGAAAATAACGAGAACCTGCTATTAATCACTGCGGTGATAGATATGCCAATAAGAAAATAATTTGATATAAACAGTATGTTTCGTTTATAGTGCAAGCGGCGTATCTCATACTGTAGGACAACCTAACAAATTAGTTTCAATACATTTTTATTGTCTATTGACGCTTGAAAATTAATAATTATAACACCGGTTTACTTTTATTTGAAATATTACCGTTTTCTGTTATACACGGCTGACACTTGTGAGAAACAATTTATCAGAATTGACATCTCACATGGTGTTATAATTACTCGGCATACTGTTACATAATTTTCCAGCATGTTAATAATTACCCAACCCTATACCACCAGGATATTTCAATACAGACACCAGACGTCTGACTTACTAGGAATATTGATCGGCTGGTAATTACATAACCTTTCTGGTTCCTGGGGATATATCCGTGAAACAATCAGCATTTATTGTAGGAGTGTAAGAAAATATCGTTTACATGTAGTTTGTATCAAGTTATTGTAAGATAATTGAAACAGTTTATTTTTAGCGTTCTGGTCAGTCGATATATCTTGTATTTGGCACTCGCTTTCAGCGCTATGCTATATGAGAATTGTTTCATACTTTTCATCTGTTAGAAATAAAATACCGTTTTCACTTAAAAGTTGAAACTGAGGATTTGTTCAGGATTCATGTGAGTTTAGTAAGTGATTCCTTTTTTGAATTATCACCAACGAAACATCACTGAGTGCTGGAGGTTTTTTTTATATTATTTCACAATCATTGTAATGTTGTTAGTAGAAATACTTGTTTTACAATATTTAATTGTTTTGACACATATGCAAGTTAGCTGAAGAATGTTTTTATCTTTCCATCGATGTATGCTTTATAACTATCGCGCTGTTGACAGCTGTATAAAGCATTGCCTGAATGCCTTCCCTTGTCGCTAGTATTTGGTGTCATATAGGGTGGAATTCTGACTTTCTGTCCCCGACCAAGAAAAAATAAAATTGTGGATAGACAGTCAAAAGCCTTACAAAGTGATGTTTAAGAACCGGTTGGCTCGTTAACCTATCTTAAATGACAATCTTGGTCGCCGATTTCTCCCTATTTTTTGTAAAGACTGTAATATTTCTACCTTCATAATTTCATTTGATATTATCCCCCTAACCCACCACCATCACAAAAAAATAAGATCAAAAGTAACGCGATTAACATATTATCTATATCAAGTTATTGCTATCTGGTCGTACCGTCACCTACAGTTATGCAGTTATCTCCCTTGCCATCCGGCGACTGCCACGAAGTAGGTAGAAATAGAATTGAGATTGAGATGTAAGGTTTTATATTTCAATGTTTACGGATGACTTTAATTTCGCTTTCTTCCCTTTTATGCCTCTATACATGCGGTCACTACCATCACCAAGAGTAACGGAAGTACAAAACACCCAGTGAGTTTTAATCTTTATTCTGGTGTGTTTTGCTTTGTTTACCAAAAGTTGCATTAAATAGGTAAAACGATAAATAAACATTCTTTGTTTTAAAACAATTGCGAAAAAAGTTTACATCAATCAATCTTGGTTCGGATGAAAGCGTGTGAGGGATTTTACTGTGTGAGGAAACCAGATTACCTGGTGGAAACCTATATGGTCAGGTAGGTGACCTCCATACATTTTCGCGTCCATTACGGGAATTGTACGAACTGGTAGCCCGGACTTCTAGGTGAAAGGCATTATGTTGCACTTTACTCATCGTATAATCAGAGACGTATATATAATTAAACGTGTGTTCATTATAAGAACGCGTGACCATCAGGTTATACGCCGGATAAATACTGCGGAGGATCTCTGGAGACATGTGGCGAATGCGCATTTACATTTTCTAAACTGATTGGGGAATTGTTTACGACAATGATTTGACAATGTTTCTAAGATAAACATCATCTATTATTGAAAATAAATATACACTGTGAATCAACATCATATAGTGCCCCGCCTAAATCGCGTTTATATCACAAATTATGAAAGTCATCAGCTTTTCATCCTCAGAGGACAAAGATAATCTTTCTGGGCATAACCATATTATCAAAATGGCAGCTTGATTGCATTGTCCTGACGTATCCAATCATTTGGCGGTAATCCCTGGTGAGACATATTAGTGATGTCAGGGACAGGTCGTCGCCTTGAGCTGGTTACAGCTGTATACATTACAATGTATCTAATATATCACGTAATTGAAAAACAAACATATTAATCATTTGTATTGCATAAATGTTTAACGGGGTGTGGATATAACAAAAACATGTCTTCATATTTTGTTTTTTTTTCATGCGTAATAAAAATACATTATTTTTTAAAAGTATATCTCAGGTAATTTTCTTTCACGATCGCTTCATCTATTTGTTTGAAAGGAATCCTAGAGATTTTTTTCTAACTCGTGACGAATTTCATAAATCTCGAAAATCTCATATCAAATTGGATATTTATCTTCATTTATACCTAATTGATGAAACAAACCCCAGATATGTGTTTAATTTGTGACGAGTTTCATAAACCATATAGAAAATAGAAACGAATGAAAAATTATGTTTAAACTTGTATACTTTTGAAAACATCAGTGAAAGCAGTATGTTTTGAAACTTACACAAACTCTAAATTGGCAATATTCTCATTCTATATCTCTGTACTTCGTGACGTCAATATCAATATGACGCAAAAAAAACCGAATAAACATAAATACAAATAGAGAATACATGTCTTAAAATATAAACGGTATCTGGCAAGAGTGAAGAAAGACGAAAGTGGCTAGCCACTTTTGTTTTCATGTTCCGAGCCAAAATGCAGTTTATAATTTTAGAAACTGACGGTGTATTCTATTTATCGTGCAACGTTGATTGAAAATCAGATCATCGATACTTCAACAGATTTGTTGTTCAATCTTTGTTTACCTGGCGTTAGCGTTACGCTTAATTTTGCCTGATGACGTGCGCCAAAATAATTGCTCCGCGCAGAAATATAGTTCCACACTTAAATGGATATGACGGCGATTTTATAAATTTTCGCAAATAAAATGTTCATTACAACATATAAAATCGCCTATTTCAACATTTATCTTATTGCTAAACGTCAATTCTAAGTAAATTCAGAAAGTAATTCTGTCGAACTAACGCACTTGCTAAAATACAGTCGTTTTCCGTCACTGTCGAATCAGCAAAAATATATGTGGCAGGTGTATTTCGACAATGACAGCGCCAGTTGCAGGACAAATGTTGTTATGCTGATAACAGTGATGTTACGTAATTAAACAGCTTATATATATCACCTTCCAGCACCGTTAACTCAGAAACAGAGATTCATACATGTATCTAACGCCGAGGAAAGATTTTTGAGTTCAAAATTTCATTTTCTTCATCACTCAGTGGTGATAGATTATTATTTTACAACTCTAGGTGTAGTGACGTGACATTATCATGTCGTCCTAAATTGCCCATGTATCAAAATTGAATTATAGAAATCCGACTGATGACGGGACCAGATTGCATGTATGGGACCTTTGATTTTGTTGTTGTTGTTGTGTTTTTCCATTTTGAGAGGAAAACTACGTTAACTGTATACAAGATTTATTTTCTGTAGCAAAACTAAGAAAATACCAGTGAATTGTGGCAGATGTTGACGAGTCAGAATTAAGACAACTCTGTGAACGAACCAGGAGCTCTCACAAAAATAGAACCAGAATACCCCTCATGTCTCGATCCAAACAG